TTCTATTATAACATTAAATTTTTAATTCCTTTTTTATTTGTTAATGTGTGTGTGTGTCTTTTTACCAAAAAATGAGAGTTACATTATTTATGGATAATGAATAGTACATCTCATTTCTAAGACTTTTGTCATATATCCTATCTAACACTAGTGGTATAACAGAGAAGATATATTTTGAGCAACAACGAAGCATTGCGATGCATGCCAATTCTAATGAGTAGAATTTGGTATGCAAAATACTGGCTATACAATCTAAAGATATTTGGTTCAATTGGTTTGAGCAAACTGTTAGCTAAATATCTTAAGATCTCAAATTTGATGTCTAGAATATACAATTATGTTAAATAATCTATTAAAGGAATTCTCAAAGTCCCCATAAGATCATCGTTAGTAATAATGATTTCATATAATAGAGGTAAGAATTAGTTTGAATGAATGGTGGTAATATCCAAAGTTTCTTGAATACCAGCTGTCAAATAAAAAATTACTAGCTATATAAAAAAAATAAATGGAAAGTAAGTAACCAACAATTTTTAAGAAACATTGAGAAAATAAATCAAGCAGTAATATTTTTAGAATCTAGTTTTAGTGTTCATGACTTTTGTGATGAATATCAATTTGGACCTTTCAGATTTAATAGAATTTTATTTTTATAAGTACAAACTTAAGATTTTTATATATCTGTCAAAGGAATTATGTTCATCTATAATTGAATGAACAGTAACAATAATATAAAAACCTAGTAAATATAATTTTATATATATTACTCTAACAAAAAATTATTTTTTATATGAAAAATTATAGGTTAAAAATTTTAAATCTAAATCATTAAAATTAGTTTTGTATTACCCAAGTCTCATCATAGTGATGAGTACCCTGATAAGCGTTGAAACCAAACCCAACATTTTTAATAGATTGCTAAAAAAAAATTATGGTTTATGATAGGAAATGATGAGGAATGAATTAAAAGGAGGAGAAGCTAAGGAAGTTGCTTAATATTAAGGAAAGGCAAAGAAAGGATTGAAGTATAAGGACAGCTTCTTCATCAACTGACATAACCATTATTGGTTGTTAAGGTTGGTCACCGTATACTTCACCTTCCCTCTTGTCTCTTTCATTTTTTTTTTTTAATTTCTTGCTCTTTTTTGGTCCATCTTTTTTTTAAAAAAAAAGAATAAATAACTAGAACAAACCCATATATTTACTTTAATATTCGAGATGACTTGCAGGGGCAGACCGAGGTTATGGTTGAAGGGGCCCACGGCCCCCCAGATTTTTTTTTTTAAACTATGTACAATGGGATATGATTTTGAGGGTGAGGGTTTTTAAAGGAGAAAATTATTGTTTTGATCCTTAAATTTTTAGTTTTAATTTTTACCTTAATATTTTCATTATGCATTCTTCACTTCCTACACATGCTGATGTTGCTTTTTCACTTAGTAAAACAAGTCTCTACTTCAACATCAATTATTTTTATTTATCTCTCTCCATCTCTATAGGAAGTAATAGATAAAAATATGAATACATCATTAATTTCTTTTATTTTTTATTGTCAACCATTTTTTTAAAATCATAAAAGTTTGAATTTTTTTTATAGGACAAGACTTAGATACCGAGCCTTATATACTCAATATACTTCTATCCAATTAAATCAAAATAAGTAAATTTAAATATATTAATAATATTAATAACAAGACTTTGTTATGGAATAAATAACAAGTATTTTTATTTTTTATATATTCTTTGTAAAACTTTTTTCTTGAATTTTTGGAAAAATTTATTATTGAAAATTTTCAATGTTAATATATTGATAATCATAAGATGATATTTTTCCTTTTGATTTTTTTCAGTTTATAAATGATTCTAAGAAAAAAGAAGTTTATAAATGATTTATTATCTTAAAAATTTTATCAACTCTATTATAAAATTATTTTAATTAAAAATAAAAATTCAAATAACATAAAATTGGCCCCCACATTTATTGCTCTTGTTTCACTACCGATGACTTGTATTATTCATATCTTATAAATGCTAATTTGTAAATGAAAAACTTGTCACTTATATCATCACTTAAAATTTTTTTTCCCCCTCACAAAATCGATGGATATTGAAAATTCATGTTTTCAAGGTTACAAATAAATACATGTAATTGTCAAATCACCGAAAACGGAGATAATGTTTCATAATATTTTAATTTACAAATTAGTCAATCTTATTTACAAATTTTTGTTTTGATAATTGCAAATAATGTTATGAGAGTGGTGAATTTTTTTATATTAATTTACTAAAAAAATTTGGTCCTTATTTTAGGTTTTAAAATATTTAAATTCTTATTTAAATTTAATCCATTTTTTAATCCTTTAATATCATTCTTCTTTAAAGAATACAATTCTCAATACTTTTCATATCTTGAATAGATGCTAACCAATTACTCTGTTGTGTGAAACGTAGATTTTTTTTTTTTGAAAAAAGAAATTATCAGTTATACATTGAAAAGTTAAAAATTTCTGATATCTTTTAACATAAAAAAATGCCTTGCCTTATATTTGTTAAGGGGAGGAGTTTGTACTCCCACTAACAAAATATTTCTTTTAATAAGTGAATAAATTTGGTATAAATTTGTATGTCACATTACAATTAACCACATAGTCATGACTTGATAGTTACTTCTTATCAATTTTACATATATTGATATTAATATTAAGATTGATAATTATTAGAAATTAGACGCATGGTCTTGTGTACTTTAGAGTTTGAAGAACTAATAATATTATTCACATAGTACAGTCTGCAAAGATTTTATTATTTTATATCACATATTATCAGATTAAAATGGAATTGATGGATACTTCGACATATAAAACAGTTTGAGAAATGGATAAGCCGAAGGATATTGAAATGTGCTGGTGAAACATCAGAGTAGTTGACCAAACTAATTAATTGGTTACAAATGTGTGTGTGTGTGTTTAATTGGTTACAAATATATATGTGTGTGTACACACACACATGGCTGCTACACAATTATATTAGTTGGAAGAAGGAAATCAGAAATTTTTTGACTACTTTGTCAAACTCGTGCACTCACTTTGTCAACCCCTTAATTAATTATAAATATTTTACTCACATTTTACGGTTGTTAGGTATATTTGAGTGAACAAAAATTAGGATTTATTTTTCAAAATAATCTTTAATCAATCTCAGAAAATTCATGTAGCCTTTTTTTCAGTAGCATTTTTTAATGTTATTATTTTTACTCAAGTTATAATATGGTATTGTTGGCATTACGAGAGTGTTTTGAATAAAAAAAAATATTCGGGCTGCATTTTTTGTAAAAAAATAAATATAGTAACGTAGATATTTTTTTAAAAAATATTTTTTCTTTGTTATAAAAAAATTGATTTCACAGTCAATGAAATGGATAGAATAGAAACAATTAAATACTTTTAATTAACAGCTCAAGTTTTAAGTTTTATGAATAAATAAATGTGAACAAAAAATTTCACCAAAAAATATGAATAAAATAATGATGCTATACCTAGAATAGATTTACCACGTGAGCCTCAATACATGATCTAATCTACCTTCGCTTAATTTGCGTCTCGCTCAGGGTCTTCTTTTCTTTGGATTGAGAGTCTCATGTCTCTCTTTTGCTGTAGAGAAAATGCCATTCAAGTCCATTGGCCCATATTAGGCCCAAAAAAGTGAATGGGCCCATATAGTAGCCCATTTTTTGTCCCTCCAATTTGTTTTTTTGTGTCCCTCCCTCGCTGTGTGTTCGAGTCACCTTGCCATTGCGACGTATATCTAACTGCTTAAAAAAAATATTCAGGTAGTATTTAGATTGAATTTGGATTTAGATATAAAATTTCATGTTTTTAAAAACTTTATTTGAATAGTAGAAAAAATTTCAAATTTAAAGACAATAAAAAATAAGATATGAGAGATGAACATGGAAAAATATGAGTTAGAGTAGATAGCATTTGAAATAAGGGAGAATAACATTCAAGAACGTCAAAAGAAAAAGAATTTAATAGCCCAAAAGAATCAAAACATTCTGATATATTATTGTTGGACCAGCGGACTAATTAAAAATAATTTTGGATAGGAAAAAAAATTATAATACCTTTTTTTTTTTTTAATTCTCTTTACCATTGACGGACATTGGACCATTGTCATCCAAAACTTCAGCTGACAACCAATTAAATCCTCTTAATGACTAAGGAGGGTTTAAACTTAAAACTCCTTGGCCACCAAAGGTTTTAGAACTACCAAGTTACAACATTTTTTTACTTATATAAGACAAGATTTAATATAAGTTGTCTTGTTAATTTTAAGTTTTCAAATGATATACTTGTTCAAACAAGTGTCTGATTATTAATTTATAAGTAATCATATATATTTTAACAAACAGTTATTTATTAATTGATAAGTTTAAAAATATAATAAAATTTGATTGTGAGAAGAGGCAAATATAATACTTGTTATAATAAGTAATCATTTATTAATTTACAAGTATCAACCCCCATCTAATAAACTGCAATTCCTTAATTAACAAGTTGAAAAAATAAAGAGTTTGGTTGTTCACTTGTCATGACCAATAACAACATTAATTACAGCATTTATATTGAGAGAGAGATAGAGATGAACAAATAAGAGAGATGAAAAATAATTAAATATGCCAACATCATGTCCAACAATCAATAACAACATTTTTTCAAAAAATTAAATCTCACGTAAAACTACTAATTTGTTTATTTTAAAAAATTTCAGGAATTTATGTTAAGATAAACCACAGGACTTTGCAATAGTTAAGATAGGTTTTTTTTTTTTTGGGGGGGGGGAAGCAATAATTATATAGTTGATTGAAGGTGTGTTATTTAAAAAAAAAAAAAAAAGTGGAGGTGGGCCCTCTGTATTATGAATAATATCGAGAACCATATTGCTATTATTTATTTATTTACTACTAATATTTAATTTAATCATAATGTTTTCCCTAAACTGTCCCTGCCGTTTGATCTATTTCGTTTCCGTTGTCCATCCTTCGCTGCGTACTACTGAGCGATCCGTTCTTCATGTGCTGTCCTTCCGCGAAGACCGAAGAGAAATGAAGCAATTCGAAGTTATCCAAAACACGCTACCTGAAGATGTTGCCCTCAAAATTGTTTCGATGCTTTCGGTATGATTTTATACCCACCATAGCATACATGAATTCCAATTATTGGTCTTTTCATTTGTTTGATTCCTTGGATTTGTGCGAGAAGGTACGAGATTTGTGCGCCTTGGGCTGTTGCTCTAGGTTTTGGAGGGAACTTTGTGGCTCAGATTGTATTTGGGAGTCTTTAACTAGAGAAAGATGGCCTTCTCTTGTGTGCTTTGATTTCTCTGCTTCGTCTTCTTCTTCTGCTCCTCCCAACGCTCCCAATTTCAAGGTATCCCCAATTTTTTTAAGGGTTATCCAGCTATCTTCTTTTAGCTTCTGAATTGTGACTTTGTAATATTTGATCATCAACCTCCGCAAGTTATTACATTTCTTTCATTTTTAATAACTTCTATTGATATATAGACTATACCCAAGGTCCTTTACCCTGCTCCTACTGAGCTTCGAAGGTAAGTAATTATCATTGTGTTAATGTCTTAATCATATGTTCGTGGATGGAAAAACATTTAAACGTTTCACATCGTTTTGTCTGGAGTAAGCTGATGACTTGCCCCCTAATAGTCAGACCAGTTTACCTTTAACAAAGGTATTACTCCATGGAGAGTGTTGTATTCAACAATAAACTCGTGGGCGTGTATTAATTATCATAGACTCAAGATCAATGGGAATGGGACTAACTATTAAGGTCATAAATATTTAATGTACTCATTTTTTTTTCCTGTTACTATTGGCATACTTGAGATTGGGCCTGTTTTATTATTATGTATTTACTTGGAAATTGGGCCACAGGAATGGAGGAAATTGTACATCGAGAAGCACAATGAGGTGGCAGTTAGAGCAGCAGCTGCTGCCAAGTTTGTGGAAGAGAGCTCGCCCTCTAAATCACTCGAAGTTGGGGACTATCTGAAAGCAATTAGCATCTTGGATGATATGAAGCTTGGTTTCAAAGATGTCCAGATGTGCCTTTTCAGGCCTAACCTGAAGGTGCTGGTTAACTTGGTTGGCCTGCACTATTGCCTGACTTGGCTTAGAATTCCGGTATTCCCATCATTCCATCCATACGGTGATTATTTTACTTGCAGTTTAACTAATCAAGCCCCTTTCTTGTTCCTTCCAAGGAGTTGTTTCATCATAAATTATGTGTCACTCAGTGCCAACTAGGATTTGTCATGATTCATGTTGCATTAGTAGGATCCAGGGTGAAGCTTTTTTTCCTGAAAACTTTTTTTTTTTAAATTATCCTTCTGTAGTTTATTCCTATAATATGGTTTCCACTTAAGTTGAAAGAGTATGTCTTTAAACTTAACACCTTTTGTTTTATTAAGTTTTATTTGTGATGAACCTTATACTTATATCTTGGCTGCACGTTTGATACCTTTAACTTTTTATTTTCACTTCATGTTATACAGCGTAATACAGCAAGGAGGATTAAAAAAAGAAACACTAAAAGCTACTCTTATAACTATGTAAAATTGATCATTTAGGACTTGATCAGTTAGTACAGAATGATGCTATGAACATGCTTGAATTATTGCCTCTGGATTATCCTGTAGTTGGACATGATATCATTGATAATTCAATATATGCAAATATATTAGCAACATGAAAATGTTCTCTGTTTCTTGATTATCCTTTTAGTACATGCTTTTTTTTTCTAGTTGCTGCTTAGTTATTCTTATTGCCATAGTACTACAAAAGCTTACGTTTGTATATATGATACTGAAGCAATGTTCGATTTACCTAAGTATTCCTATGGGACTGGTTGAAGGTTTGTTTCATGGGTTTTGTGTTATACTGATGAATGTTAATTTTGACAATTAAATTTGGGTTTCTGTATTTCAGATTTTTTGCAGCAGCTCTAATGTTATTTTCGTCATACTGTTGAGGACGAAGTTAAATTAATAATAATTGAACTTGTGTTATGCTTCAATTGTTTATTTTGCATGGCTATTTGAAATTTTGTTAATGGTTTAATCAATTCTTGCAAATTCAGGTTCAAAGTTATTTTCGACTTTTCATTTACAAGGAAATGGCATCACAGGTCATGCAACTTCATATAACTTGCTGTGTCCTTTGTCTTTCTTTACAAGTTTGCTTCTTGAGGAGCTTCCAAAAGAAGCTCAATTTAAGAGGTCTCGTCTTGAGAGATTTTAGTTCTCTTCTCTCTGCTTTTCTCTTTTGTTTAGAAATTCATTCCTCTTCTTTGATGGTCCTATACCTGAACATTTCTTCAAAAAAAGTGGAATCACAATCAATATTATATCTTGCAGTCCTTTTTCTCTCTTTTGCCCTTCTTAAAAATGTTTCAAGGTAGTGAAGTGCATCCAATGTTTAATTATGAAAGACGTGCGCCTTGTAAATATGTACACCTCAGTATGAGGCCACAAACCAGGTTGCCAGGTGGATTAAATTATATAGATGCTTGCTTCTCATGGTACTCGTATAAGAGTCAAAACTAAAGCAAATGCCTTAGGATTTTATTATCAAGTTCTACTATGAAAACATGACAGTAGATATCTTAACCTTAGTCTTATCAGCACATCTCAATAAATTTCCCCAAATTGTTCTGTACCTTGTATATAGAAAAAACAAATAAACTTAAGGGAGAACCTTGGTCTTATCCATATATATATATATATATATATATTGTTTTTCTCATTCTTCATTAGACAGATATCAAACCACGACGGAGAAAAAATGCACATAGAGATAAAGTGTTGCCCTAACCTTGTTAAAGGACTGGATGAGGAATCTAAAAGAAAATCTTAAATGATGTCATGGTTCGCTTTTTGGTATCCAACCTCCTCTCTTGGCAGGGTGATCAACTCAAAGAAGCTCTTCAGGTGAGTGAGATTGCAGAGCGTCATGTGTGCGTCAAGTGGTGGAAACTTGGGAGATGGTTCTTTGGCTTCCGCATGAGGGATGAGTCGCATTCCCGATGGGCTTCATTAGCTGATTTGGCAACTGATGATGATGAACACCTTCTGGCAGTGCTTATCCGGGGTGCAATTCATGAGGTTTTACGTGTTCAGATATCCAGCGAAGAAGATCACCACACAAACCCTTGGTCTGCCCAGATCACCCAGGGACATGGTTAGGGGTGTTTATTTCCATATCCTTGCAATACTAATAGTTTTATAGTGTTTATCACAACAAAACATAATGTACGTGCTGTCATATATTTAAGCTTATTAGGTTCTGAGTTCTGATGCATGTTTCCGGTAAGTGGCCCCGTAGTATCTATCTATTTGGCTGTTGTTGGTCTGCTTGACCACTGTTTGTAAGTTCAGGAACACTGAAGTCGCATACAATAAAATTATCAATGTAAATACGTTCAAATTTCAGAAAAAACTTAGGAAGCTGTTGACTTGTGGCTGTCATTTTGATCATTCATTTGAATTACTAGCAACTCAGATTGAAACTTTAAGATCCAAGAACAGAACCACCTCCATTCTCTTTCTCTCCTAGATCTGTGAAAAACAAAGCATTTGGGAGGAGGAACTCCACAATTATTAACCGTTTAGAAATATCATTGACCATGAGATTCTATCATATAACTTCCTTAAGTGACAAGATAAAGAACTATCTGGAAAATATAAATGACAAAGTCTGTTTCTGATACAGATAGAATAATTACAAATCATTTACAACCCAAATAGAATGCAAAATACATAAGGGGTCACACGAGAATAGATAACTATCATTTACACAAATAATGGACACCCAGGGAACAGAGTGTTTGGATGCAAACATTATGATGAACTTATTATTATGATACACACTGAATGACTTGGTGAATCCAAGAAGCAGGCAGTCTAGCACAACACAATCGTCGTCATCATCATTCTACTTGGGAATTCGACTGTGAAGGGAGGTGGCTGAAAGCCAGACGAGCAAGACGGCAACAACACTGCCGAACAAAGCGACAGCCAAGGAGCCAGCAAGATGCCTGCAGAATTTGTCGTACACATTACACACTTCGTTCCAATTAAAGTGGTCGTTTCCCTTTAAACTCGAGTATGCCACTGCCCCTGCTGTCCCTGTTGCTGAGGCCACTATCCCCAGAATCAGCTGCACATTGCCAAAGCATAGTAATGTCATATGGTTGCAGATTCTTTTAAGTGGATACAAATTAAAGAAAGCTTTGAAGCAAAAGAAAAAAGAAGGTTCGTTTGGTGAATTTACTGTGTCCCAGAATATAAAATGGAGGAGGAACTTGAGTTTGAGGTCAGGTCTGGACATGACTGAGATTGATGCGAGAGTGGTGAGGATGCTATAAAGCCCAGCAACAGAGAACGCCGTCACAAAATATCTGCATTATCACATCATGTCACAATCTCTAAATCTTCATTCTTTGAAACGTGTCACTCAGAAATTCAAATATATGGCCTTTTATGATGAAATGGAACATACCAGAAGACTTTGACATTTGAATTTCTGAATATATATATATATATATATATATATATGTTTAACCCAACACTTAACCAACCAACCAACCAATCAACCAACCAACAATATTTTAAATACGTCCTTACTTGAGACACAAGCTAGTATCTTTAAGTTTACCTTCCTACTTTATATTTTAAACTTTTCCTATTTGTAACGTTATTTGAACCTTAACTTCAGCAAAAAATTTTGAGGCCTAACTATTATTAAATCGAAGTTGAGATCCTATTATCGAATTGAGAATTCTCTAGTGGAAAGACAAGAATAGAAAGAGAATGAAGTGTGTGTGTGTGTATATATAATGTATTTGTCGCATATTTGAGTAGAAATAGAGGCCAAAAAGATAAGACAAAATAGATAATTATTGCATGAGATCGAAGCACAGAGTGATGCAGGTGTGTTTTAAACCAGAAGCATCTTCTGATGAAAAAGCCTGCATATTCCTTTTTCCAGTCCGCTCTCTGAATTAATATGTTAAATAATTGAATACCAAAAAACAAAGCAATTTGTTCTTTAAAAGCTATCTTTGGATTCTTCCCAAGTCCTGTCACTCCCCTTCTGGCTGCTCAAATATGCGATTGTACCACTGTTTGTCATTTACTATATAAGAAAAAAAAATGAAAAAGCCAAAGGGACAAACTCTCAACCTTGTCAAAGATTTTAGGTTTGTTCGGTTAACGTAAAAAGAAATAAAATAAAATAGATTAAAAAATAAAATTAAAAATTATAATTCATAAAATTTTTAAAGGGTGTAATAATTTTTATATTTATATTATATATTAACAAGTTTTATCATGTTTGTCATGAGAAAGAAAAAATAATTTAGTTTATTTTATTTTAATTTTTTTAATTTATTTCTTTTCACTTCTTTCCATAATCAAAGGGCACTTTAATTCTCTTCTTTATTTGTCGGTTCAATATATATATACAGATACACTTGGAGCGAAGTTCATGAAATTAAACCCAGTGCTTAATTATAACTTTCCTCAATAATAAATTTCCACCTTACTCATTGATCTTTAGGTGTTTGGTAAGCTTAATTTTTCTTTTCAACCCACCCAAATGAACTAAAAAGAATCCGTATGCGTAGTTAGGTTATAAAAGCAGTTACTGTGATTTACATTTGAATATTTTTTTCCCTTAAAAAGTTATTTTAACAAACTAATACTTATTTGTATGATTAATAATTGAAAAGCAAGTTTGGACGTATAATAATTGAAAATGTAATGAATTTTATGATATATATATTTGTTTGTGTAATTTGATCTCTTTAAGAGAAAATATTAAACTTTAAATTAAAATTTTTAAAAATAAAAAAGAGCCCATCTATAATTAATTAAGAAGCATTATGTGAAAATTAAAAAAAAAAGATGAACTAAATTGATAAATAAGCACAAAAAGCCAAAATCCAAAAAACAAAAATCAGCTTCTAAAGTTTGAGACAAAAACCATTTAATTTTCCTACAATTTCTATCCAAACAAGATGTTTTTGAATCCAATTGAAGTTTTAGAACCAAATCCCAGTTTGGACCATCTATAATTAATTAAGAAGCATTATTTGATCAAAAAAATCTGAACTAAATTGATAAATAAGCACAAAAAGCCAAAATCCAAAAAAAAAAAAACAGTTTTTAAAGTTTGAGCCAAAAACCATTTAATTTTCCTACAATTTCTATCCAAACAAGATGTTCTTGAATCCAATTGAAGTTTTAGAACCAAATCCCAGTTTGGACCATTCAAATCAAACCCTAGTTGAGTTAAAACCAAACACACCCTCAGTTATAAGTAGGATTGTTAACTTTTTTCCCACAAACCCAGATATCTGATACCACTATCTCACACACGCACATACATCATCATGACGATGATGATGATGATGATGATGATGATGGAGCTTAGCTTACATGTAGGCAGGAGAGTATTTGAACTTAGCAGGCTTAGGCACAAGAGGAGGCCCTCCGAGCGGTTGAGCTGGCGCGAGCTCTGTTTGCTGGCTCGTCACTATCACGACGATCGCCACCAAACTTGACGCAAACAGAAGAAACCTCAGAGCCACGTCTGCCTGAAAGTAATCCCACAGGCCCGCCGGAGGAGGAGTAGGCGCCGCCGCCGCCTCAGACCTATATTCAGGGTCGGCAGGCTTTTCTGTGGTAGAAGCCATGTAGCTAGTGATGATGATATGAGCTTGTCGCAGGTCTGAATGAGCAATGATTTAGCTTGGCTGGCTAGCTATTGCATGTATATATATCACTTCTATATACATATACATATATATATATATATAGAGAGAGAGAGAGAGAGAGAGAGAGTTTCCTGCACGACAGGGGATCTCTGGGTGGGTTTGAACATTGGCTCGTTAGTTGGTCCTTATTAGATAAGCCTCATACATCTAACAGTCCTTCAAGATCTTTAATTTCCTCTCTCTCTCTCTCTCTCTCTCTCTCTCTCTCTCCAAATTGATTTCTATCTTTCTGTTTTTTTTTTTTTGACAACCAATTAATTTCTCTCTCCAGGAACGTAGTGTGTGTGTGAACGTAGTATATATATCTTGTCATGGATCTCACTTTTCATATTTTTAATTTTGACCCCTAAGTAAACCTCAGTACAAATATCTAAATGTAATTATATGTCATATCTTAGAAAATACCCCGTATAAAAGATTCTTCTGTCCAAATTGTTAGAGATTTTTTCCAGCTAAACTTGATCCAAAATGTAGAACACTTATTACTTTCAAAGTTATTTTTTTAAATTTATCTTTGTATTAACTAATGTGCGTATGAGAAACATATATAATTTGACTAGGGTTAACATTCATCTTTAAGCTTTTAAACTTTAAAATTTTAATTTATTTTGATCTCTTAATTTTATAAAAAAATTTCAATCATTTAACCCTATCATTGTTAGTTTCATTAACAAAAATTCTGACATTAAACTAACGGTGTTAAAATTAAGAAACTAAAAAAAATATTTTATAAAATTACAAGACCAAAGTAAAATTAGAAGTCTAAAAGTATAAACTTTGACTAAATACTTCTTCTCATTCGGATTAAGGGCAAAAACTGAAAGCCATATTATTTTTCCAAGGAAGAAATAAAAAAAAATAACTACTTTTATTAGTATGTAAAATATGATTGAAAGTATTTATAATTTATATCAGAGGGAGTATATGTTACTCTTTTTTGTTATCTAAAATTTGTGGCATTTAATTGATGATAAGAATGGACAGAAAAAAAAAACAAAATTTTACATGATCACCTAAAATATTTAATGACTTTGATGATCTTTCAGTGATTACCAACATGAGGACAAATAATAGAAAAATTGTAAATAAAAATTTAATTACTAGTAATAGGTTTCATTTGTGGCCAAATACCATAAATACTATTCCTCCCATCTCAAACTATAGGATATTTTTAGATAAATTCTCACATATTAATAAAACTTCTTAAATACACTTTACAACTTTATCTTTTTAAAGATAAAAATATAAACTTTTAAAAATGCTCTCATTTAATACTTCACTGATGAAATAATATTGAGGAGAGAGAGTATATGATAAGGATAATATTGAAAAGTATTATTAATAAAACTTTATTTTTATCAAAGTATCTTATATTTTGAGACGTTAAATTTTTTTTAAGAGTGTCTTATAATTTAAGACGGAATTAAATCTTCTCCGGCCATGATTTTTCTATTTGTTTTATTTTATTTCAAATTTTAAAAAAGGAGTTTATATAAGACGTTAAAAATAAAGAGAGATGAAAGAGTAAGAATGGTGGTGGCTGATGTTATTATTGTTGTTACTACTATTACCATTTAATGATGTTAATTGTATAATTAATTATTGAATGATTATTGGTGTAAGAATGAGGTAAACATGTTGGTATCTATGGGACTAGAGGAAAGTGACATAAATCGCCACCTGGTGGTCCTTCCTCCTTCGTCTTTAATAATACGTACATAATTAGATTTAAATTACATTGAATAATAAAAATATTAACAAATTTGAGTATAAAAATTAATCTCACCATTTATTAAAACTAATATAAGTTTATTAATATAAATTTAATTTTTTGATTTTCTTTTCCTTTTTTCTGTAGTTAATATAATTGATCTTTTTATCAAAAAATTTATTAAAACTAATATGAAAAGGAATCTATAAAAAAAAGAATCTATCAAAATTGGAGTTCCTTTCTAGCTAAAATGCTTTGATTTGATTTAGTTCATTAACATTAATGTTGTCCCCATTAGTCACCATTTTGATGCATATACTCTTTTCAAATTATAATATAGGACATTAGTAATTAATTTATGGTTCTTAAAAGTATATTAGTTGAAACCTAAATTTTTTTAAAAAAATTACATCCTTTTAATTATACTATCATTAAATATCTTATATAAGTATTTTGATAATGATAATTAAAATTTTAATATAATATTTTTAAAAAAATAATAATAAATAAAGTAAAGGCATAATAAACAATAATTATAAAAATTATTTAATGTTCTATATTTAAAAAAATATGACATCTAATATATGCCTTATAATGTGGTTTGAATGGAGAATAACATTTTATAAAATTAGTTTTTTACAGTAGAATTGACATTTTAACAAAACTTTGGAATTATGTATATCAAAAATTAACTTTTAATTGACTTCGAGGCGTAGGTTTGCAAGAGAGATTACATGTTCAATGGAAAAGATGTCTCATAAGTTGCCCATTGACACCTGTGTAATTTAAGTTATAAGCTCCTGACATTTAACTCACCAGAACTTTTTTTAAAAAAAAAAAAAAGAAGAAGAAAGAAAGAATTACCCCTTTCGAACGAATGACAGGAATCAAAATATTAGTTCTAAATTAGTTATGGATAATTAAAGTCAATAGAACAATTAACCTTTTAAAAATTAAAATGATGCGGTTTGTAAAATTTATCTTTTATAAGAGACTTTTAATATCAGTTAACAAGTACCCACTGTTGAAAGTAAAGGTATTAGCATTTTTATAATATTTGCAATCACCATAGAACTTTTAACATTAGCTTAAAATTAAACCACTATAAAAAAAACTTTTAACATTGAGTGGAGTTTAACCTGATATCAAAAAGTTTTAAAACTTAAAAATAAAATAATTTTTTATTTCTAACATGTCACCTTTTGTTGATAGTGAATTAATATTTTATTAATTTATTCAATTATCAATATTTATTATCGATTCCTGATTGCTTATATATATATATATATATATTTTATATAGAGTCGTAGGCAATCACAGAAGATTAGTTTGTGATGTGTATATGTAATGAAACACATGCTCAACATCATTACATTAGGAATGATTGAATTTACAAATGAGGTAATTATATTTTTTAAAAACAAATTTTATTGTCATTCAAATTAGTTAGTTAATATTTTAATTATAGTTTTATACTTTAATTTAGATATTTGATATTACAGATCCATTTTTTAAGGAAAAAATTGATGACATCCTCACATATTGGACACATAAATTGTATATAATATATGTATTGGAATTGACTGCCTGGCGATAAATTGTATAAAATATTTTTTTTTGTAAAAATTGAAAAAATAAGTGGAATAGAATTAATTTTTTTTAAAAAAAATCACTGTTATCAGTTATGCCTTTAACCGTTGTTAAAAGCTTCTCTTTTGTCAAAAAATGAAATCAATGAGCAACTTTTTACAGAACTTATAATCACTATTAAAAATTTATTTTTAATAGTGATTGAACAACTGTTATTAAAAATCACATATTGTTAACATCTTTTGAAATAATAGTAGTTTTATAATTGCTGTTAAAAATATTTTTTATCAATTAGTAAAAGCTTATCATGCAATAATGTTATTTTTGTAATTTCACTGTTAGAGGTGTTATGTTATAGTATAAGCCAAGCCTCTTTTCTATTTTTATTCGTGTCTCAAGTAATTCATGTGATTTTCCTCTTCGATCTTTATTTTTATTTTACATTTTATCATAAAACGTGTACAAAATAATTTGGGCCTAAATTGATTTAAAGAAATTCTATTGACTTTTTTGGGCCAACAGGCAATTTATCGCTTTTAAAAATTAGATTTTTGATATTTTGTAAATGATATTTATGATATCTAATCAGCTGTACTTATACACATTATAATTTAGTTCAGGTGAATTATTATTGCATGTAAAGATATTTTTCTTTTACGTATAGTTATTAAAAAAATTGTTTGATAATTCATCAGTTGAACGAAAAAAAAACTATTTATTTAAATTTGATAAAAATTTAGGGTAAATAAATAAATTATTTCCTGATTTTAGATCTATAGCACTATAGGCAACCTTAAACTTATTTATTATGTAAATTATTTTTTAATTTTTAGAAATAGTATAATATTTCATAAAAGCTAATTGTAATAGGTATTTGATCATAAAATAATAGAAAGCAACATCAGAATTTACAAGTGAGGACAAAAAAATTATAATAAAGGACTCAAAAATTACTGACAAGATCCAAAAAAATTTTGATAATTTTCTGTAATTTTTTAGATCTCTGTGTGTAATTTTTATGTCTTTTCTGTACTTTTTTTATTAATTAATGATAAAGGTTAACTTTTATTAATGATAAGTGTTAAATTATACTATTTTTAAAAATTAATAAAATAATTTACACAATAAAAAAATTTAAAATTTATGGTACTATTAAATTTAAAATTTAAAAATAATTTATTTATTTATTCATAACTTTTATGAGGGAATTAATTATGGTGATGATTTGTGAACTGAAAAGAGTTGAGGCCATCCAATAAGAAGCCTGTAGAGGAATAAACTAGGTAAGTGGATTTGCTTTTCCTCGTTGCAATGATAGAAGTGTTGGATCAAATTTAATAATCAATAAATTGTATTTCAAACTTTTAATCACATTCAAACAACTTTTAAAAAAATTATTCGTAAATGAAGATTAATATGAAAATGTTTGTAATTAAAATAATAATAATTTTTTTTACTTATTACTGATTCTTTTTGACAAATAATTGTTTTAGGAGATCTTTGCATGTGAATCTCCCTTAAAAATAGAGAAAATTTGCAATTATGTACTTATGAGAATAAATAATAATCATTTCAAGATCACAATATGTTGAAATTGAATTTAAGGACCATTATTTTTTTACAATTTAAAAAATAATGTTTCGACTAAAACATTCACATCTTAAATGCAAATTTGGTCACTTATTTTTAGAAGTATTTTAGTCACAACAATATGTAAATTGTATAAAAGGACCTTGGTATTTAAATTTAATTTCAAGATTTTATGGTAATCAATGGTTATTATTGATTT